TTTCTTGATTTTACCTTCCATACGCAACCAATTGAAGATTTTGCCTAAACTGTGCGTTTTGCACCATGCTACCCTACATATTGGTCTCCTGTATACTACTTCATCCACGCTCCAAAATTTAGATCCAAAAATACCACCACTCATCGGTGAACCAACAGCACACAAAGGAAATAACTCATGCTCAAACCCATAAGCAATCTTTCAAAGCGATTCTCTCAGTCAATTCAAGCCGCTTATCAAACCGTACGGATCTTCCAAAAGTAAAGACCTTCGTGTTCGTCCTTCTTCAAAGCTTCCGCTTTGCGTCGTTTGGTGGTCCCCTTCCAGTTATGACACACATACACACACAGCGAGCGAGGGAAAGATGGAACCATGTGTTTTCATTTAATTTAGTGAAAAGGACGCAATCCCTAGCCCTCGCTGAAATAGGTATGAAGGTACAGATGCTCCCAAGCAAAAGCAAACATTCGTGTGTCAGTCGGTACATGTGAGCATAAACACACACTTATTTCCAGCCCCCACAGCTCTTCCTATGGAATGATGCAGGAAGCATTTCCTACGCCTAGTCCTGCCTCCGAGCGGGGCGCCTAAGCCTATGTTTGCATGTACTTCCAGTGGGCCTGCCCTTCCTGTCACTGGATAGATGGTTCGTTTGGTTGAAGCTGAGAAGCATCAAAATCTATGCTTCAATTCAACATCATCGTCGTCGTCGTCGTCGTCGTCGTCGTTGCTTCAACCAGAAATCCCCGCAGGGAGCTTTACTTCTACTTCTCGTCACCCCCAATTCTGCGGCGGGCATCAGCAGAAGCACATGTGCAGCACCAGAAAAGAGGGCAAAAGACGCTCGGAATTAAATTAGATGCCGCTTTTATCGTTACACACATATTTTGAGGTTGCTGCTTCAGGAGAACTGCCGTGGTGAAGGGAAATGTGGTTTTTCCTGTGTTCTTTTGATCGGGTTTTCATGTGGCTTGGATGGCTGCCTTGGAAAGAGATGGTTTCCTCAGGTTAGGATCAGAACCAACATGATGAAATCTCGATTTTTCATATCACTGACATTGCAAATATCGAACATGGTGATTGGGAATTTAGGTATAGCTGAGCAAATGGGCGAACAAATGATAGAAGACCGTTTGAGAACTATAAATTTAAGGCACACAACCAAAACTAGTGTTATAATATAATTTTTTCACGCGGTGGCGGATATATTTTTTGCACTTTCCGCATTCATCATAATCATTTTGATTAAAAAAATTTCCATCTCCGCCTCTCCATAGTCAAATAAACCGATGGAAATTTAACAACATTCCGGCTACTTGGTGTAAGCGTCTCGGTCATCGAAAAAGTAGGTATCAAAGCACCACCAAAAGCGAAAATAATAAGTGCTAAGTGGAGCTCAGTGATGAAAATAATAATATTCGGAGGCAAACATTTCCCTCGCTTTCCGTTCGCATTAAATTCGAAGACAAGGTGGACCGAAGACCGAGACGGTGGAAATGAGATGAGTCAATCGCGCTAAATGTTGGGTGACGCTCTTTAAACAAACGAGCGCAATTCAAAGAGTAAAAGCTTAATTTCTTCAGGTGAATGATTCAAGCATCAAAGGAATGTAAATTTTATGAAATTTAGACTCTCCGGACTGAGAGCATCGGAATCCTTTTCAACACCTTTTATTATCCTACCGAGGATTTTTCTTTTCAATTCATTCAAGATCGATAAGCTTCAATCAAAGGGACAAACAAACAAATTAACCAAAACGTAATGATAACAGAAGCGAGCACAACCCTCGGAAGCAATGATTGATGTTTGAAGAAAAAAAACAAACGCAGATCTTTCGGCCCTGCTGAGCAAGAAGAGACAAAAAGGTCAGGCCGGAAATCTGCCCCCCGATGGAAATGGAAAACAGAAGCAGAAAAATGCAAACATCCCAAAAACCTCGGAACCCTCATCTATCTCGTATTTCGAAGCCCTGAAGGAAGATGTTTTCCGTGAGGAAATACATAAGGGGTGAAAATCATAAAACAAACTCCCATTTATTTCGTTGCGTGCCGACATTGATATATGGTGGCTCAAATCACCCATTTTACTCTAAATAGCGTAATCGGTACGCAAATTAGACCTTATTTGGATGTGACCCGGCTTTCAACAGGTCACTTTGGTTTAGTTAAAATTCGGAACTAAGAAATCAATTCTATCTCGGTCTCGAGATTGGTTTGACGTAAGAAAAATGTTAAGTAGTGTTTATTCCACTTCTTGCGCGAATCTAGATGACCATAGGGAGCTGCACCGTCGGGTTAACCTCACTTTTTTCACATCTTGCAGTGGTTTGTTTACATGGACTATATTAAATGTTTTTCTAGATTTTTTTGGAGAGGATATTTTTCAAATATGTTCGTTCGTCGGATATCATATCTTTGAATTCTTTTTATTTAAAACCTCTAATCCACTTGAATCAGCTAGCTGGTATCCCTATCTTGTTTGCCTTGCCTTGAAAAGAGCTAACATCGCTGCGGACCCGCGAATTGCGGGCCCCACTGACAGCTCATAATTTGTAAACAAATAGAAGATTCAAGCCAGAATTTCAAAAAAGGCGTGACTGATATTATGGATATTCTTAATATTTTTGCTTACATTTTGTGAAAAATAAACTTAGGACTCATAAAATATTATTTTCTGATTTTCTTCCACGAAGTCAACCATTTATATGGCATAAAAGGGAAAATAATTTCATTTGATAAAAATAAGACAATTCAGTCACGCCATTTTTGCAGTTCACACTGGAATTGTGACGTTTCAGATGTTGGTTTCAATAACATGGCGGCATGCCAGCCAGCTGACTTGAATCGACTAACAAGCAAAGTTAAACAAACCATCACTGGATGTCAAACTGATGCATGCGGGTTCATCGCGTTCATTCGTGACGTCAGCGTGCAGCATGCTT